TACTCCATTGCTATATATCAAAGGTCTTAAGTTGTTTTCTCTTTATCATATATTGAATTTTATTAAAAATCAAAATGAGATAAATTATCGCATTCGTAAATACTTTTTTAATTGTTAACTAACAATATTAATAGTTAAGAAATCAAAAATATTATTTTGAAATATAAGAGATAAAGTGTTATAGTTTTTAATTTTTTTTCCTATTTTTATCTAATTAAACAATTATAATTTGAATTATTTTGAAATATTCAGGAGATGATATTACGTTATTAAATGATAGTATAAATATTATGCATTATCATTATCAATATATATTAAATATAAATTTATGTTATTTTTTTTTTATAAATATCACTTACTTACCTATTGACATTTGCCTTTTTAAATAGGATTTTGACTAACCGTACTAGCGTTTACTTTTCAGAGAGAAAAAAGTGTCAGTATTAACCAACCCTTATCACCTTAATCAATCACGACCGTATAAATTAGCAAGTATTAGTTCATTAAGCAGGTTAATTAATAAAAACAAGTACATTTATTAAAGTATTTACGCCCTGTGATATATGCCGCCTCAACGCCCGAACCTTCCCGACCCGCATTCCATAAAGAACCCTCATCATCAGCGCTCATAACTAATCAACGACCCCTGATCGTTCAGATTATTACCCTTTTACCCTCCGTGTTTCCCTCATCGCCTCCATCTTCTATCCCTGGCGCAGAAAATTGGAAAAACATTCCCATCTACTTCTCCAAAACCATGGCAAGAGGTTCCTCTCAGTCGCAGTCCTCCACTTCCTCCTCCACGTCCCGTCCTGGCGTCATGGCTCCTCGCGGCTCCGCTGCGGCCACAGCCGGTATGCGTCGCCGCAGGCTTGTTGGAGGCTCAGGCTCCGCCTCTGCCACAAGCTCCGCCGCCTCCGGTTCCGGAAGCAACATGCTCCGATTCTACACCGACGATGCTCCAGGCTTGAAGATCTCCCCTACCATAGTCCTCGTCATGAGTCTTTGCTTCATTGGCTTTGTCACCGCTCTTCATGTCTTCGGCAAGCTCTATCGCTCCAAAACCGGAGCTGGACCATGATTCGTGACCCGAACCTGATCTTGTTTTCGAATATCTGATCGGCTCTTGAATCGATAACTGAAATCCTACTGTTTTCCTCTTTTTTAGGTTGTCGTTTGACCGATTTGGTTTTAGCGCTGTAAATGAAGGATGGCAAGGTTGTGATTATCTGGTGTTTTTGATGCGGTGAATTTTAATATCGTTCATGTTATTGCTTGCTTTTGGAAGGGAAATGAATCTGTTTCGTTTTTCCCCAACTTTTTTCTTGAAGTTCCAGAAATGGCAGCTTTGTTCTTCCTTTTACTAGCTTTATTGAAAACTCAAGACTTTTTGGGTCCGTTCTGGAATCAGTTTCAGCCTCAGGAAAGGCATTGATTGCTTGACATTTTCTTCTTGAATCATTTGGGCAAGGAAAATGAATTACTAAGAAACTAGATTTTTTGTAGTTATTTCTGGTAGAATGGAATTTGAATGTTACATTAACTGGGAAAGAAAAGGTGTTTTTTATTTTTTTCATTTTTAATAATTCGTTATCTCTTCAGCTCTGATAATGCCGGAAAGAGGGAAAGTACGCTAACCCACCGGGGTGCCTTTGGAATTTTGTAGCTATGTTGTTTTTGGTGTACAATAGCCAGAGGATGATGTTAATTACTTGATTGATTAAAGTCGTTTGATTGAGCGAAAATTTAATTATCAGCTATGTTGAATTTTCTAATCAAGCAATATTGTTATCATTCCAAAACAGGAAATTATCCAATACATTAAAGAACATTTAATTATGTGCATGGTCCATGATGGTCTATGTGTTGCGTTTTAATGCCCGGTTAAAAGGCTTATAGTGGAGAAACAACGAAAAGCTATATAAGGAATTGGTTAATCCATTAATTTGTTTACTTCCACGGCAAAAGGCTTTTGGGTTAAGCACTGATGACTCTTTATTGGACTATTTAAAATAGAAATCATCCATAAGTGAAATTGCATATATGGACTTCAGTTGGAGAGTTGAAATCATTTATTTGTCTTGAAATTTATTTTGACAAAAGCTATATTTTTCCAGAAATAATATTAATAACTTCATTAAAAGAATCATCAGTTTGGCAATTCCTTATTTTATTGGAAATCCGAAAATAATAAAAATTTAAGTCAATCAATACTAACAATTTGATTTTAAATTTTTTAAGCATTTGCCAATTAATAATAGTGCTTGTTTAGAGTTAAAAAAACTGATAATATATGCTTAAAAAGATACACTAGTACTTGATAGTTTACCATTATCTAAACAAAAATAGATGAGTGGATCATATATTATTGTTGTTACGCACATTCTGTACTGTACATTGATACATCAATGATTTTGATACCGTAGTCCGACTGAAAGGGGAAAAAGGGGACGGTGGGAGTGGGAGCCGGCGGCGGCGAATGACTGAGAAAGGGCAACCCCGCCAAATGAAAACGGAAGAATTAGGCGCGGTGTCCACGCTGTTATTTCAGTTTCCAGCTACCCATAACAACATATCCGCTCCACCCGCAAGTTCCACCCTCCAAAATTAGAAACAACACCGAAACACGACAGCAATGGACCGAAAGAAACCCCATATTTTCTCTCCTCTCTTTCTCTCTTTCTTTCATTGCATTCCCTTTTGCCATTTTCCAAAACCCAAATTAAGAAATGAGTGTAATTGACATCCTCTTCCGAGTCGATGAAATCTGTAAGAAATATGAAAAGTACGATCCCGAGAAGCACTGCGAAGTCAATGCCTTCGGCGACGATGCCTTCGCTGGCCTCTATGCTCTCGTCGAAGCCGACATTGATAAAGCTCTCCATGTTCGATTCCTTTCCTCTCCTCCTTTTTTTTAAAAATTTTATCTTGTTTTCATTTCAAGCGTTATTTTTAAAAATAATTGTATCAGAAAAAATGCAGAAATCTGAGATGGTATCGATGGAGAAAAATAGAGCAGCGGCGGTGGCAATGAGCGCTGAAATTCGTCGACTCAAGGCTCGATTGATGGAGGAAGTTCCTAAGCTACAAAAATTGGCTAAAAAGAAGGTCTAATTCTGTTTCTATAAGCTTTTTATTTAAGCTCCAAAAATATTTATATTTTTCCTTCCCTTTTTAAGTCATTGTTTTTGATTCTAAGAGTGGAAATTAACACTATTTAGGCATTGGAATCTTCTATTAGAAGAAAAAGACAAAAACTTTGGTTATTTAATTTGTTAAAATTTTATCTTTCACTTTAATAACGATTGATTTCGTCTCTATAATGTAGAACTAGATTCTTTAGAAAATTAAGTATTAGTAAGCATATAATTGGAATTAGAGAAATAGTGCAAGAAAGTTAGGCACTGATTTGCCTATGTTCTAAAAGTTCGACATCATCTTGATTGATTATGCAAACTCAAGAATACTGAAGGTTGACAGTGGACTTGCATTGAAAATGCTAATGGTATCTAATTCAGGTCAGTGGAATTTCGAAAGAAGATCAAGAAACTCGTTTTGATCTGGTTCTTGCGCTACCCGAGAGGATTAAAGCCATTTCAGATGGGTCTACAACCGCTGCGAATCAGACTGCTGGATGGGGAACTTCATCATCTCGCAAAAAAATCAAATTTGACTCATCAGGTAATTGGGGTTGGTGATGCTTCTTCCCCAAGTCACAGTTATCTTAAATTCATTGTTAAATTGATTATTGATTTTTTACTTCACTGTCTCCCTGCCCCTGTATCCAACCTCAGGGGAGCATTTTGATAGTGATTTTTGCCAACAAACTGAAGAGTCAAATCAGTTTAGACAAGAATATGAAATGAGAAAAATGAAACAGGCATGTTAGATTCCTCATATTTCATCTTTTTACAATATCTTTAATATCTATTTTGCAACATAAAGGTTGTAAGCCAAGTGTTGCAACTATCTGTACTATCATTTGATTATGTTTAACATGTGTGCAGGATGAAGGTCTTGATATTATATCAGAAGGTTTGACTACACTGAAAAATATAGCTCGTGACATGAATGAGGTTTGTTATGGTGCATATAATTTTAGTTTGGTGATGGTATTAGGAGCAACAAGAGATTAATTATTTGTTTTAATATGTTCAGGAATTAGATAGACAAGTTCCTCTAATGGATGAAATTGATACAAAGGTGAGAATTTTGTTATTTGCCATGTCTTTTTTATTTTGGCCTTATAAGCAAAGAACCATGGAAAAGAATTATAACACATCATTTAATGTTACTATGGTGATTTTACAGGTGGACAAGGCAACATCTGATATTAAAAGAACTAATGTTAGACTGAAGAAAACTGTTACTGAGGTAATTCATACAAATGATTGTTTCAGTTGTCAAGTTCCTTCCATAATTTGCTAGGACTCATTAGACATCTTTTGTCTGGAGAGGTCTAGGGGTTCCAAAAATAGCATTTTTGCTTTTCTTGCAGATAAGATCCAGCCGAAACTTCTGCATTGACATGATTCTGCTCTGTGTAATTCTAGGAATTGCTTCCTCTTTATACAAGTAAGCTCCCTATCTTATCCTCTTGCTTTTCTGAGCTTAGGATCTTGTTTCTAGATGCCAATGTTAAATGTTTTTGCCACCAGTTCATAACATTATTTATTCAGCACAAACTGAATCAATTAGCAGGACATTTCAATGATTAATAGCCATTAAGATGTCAGTTTGTCTTTGATGCAAAAGTAAAGATGCTAGTTATCTTATTATAACTGCAATAATCTTTTTGAAGTAAAATTTTCACAGAGCCAGTTTATGTGATTTGCTTGATTATATTACGTTAAATGCAAACCACGAAATAATTGCTACTCTAAACATTAATTGAATCAAAGACTGGTAGTGAAGTGGTTGTCATTTAGCTAATAGATGCTGATCTTGAGCCTGTAATATTTGAATTATAATGTTTTTGAAGTTGATGCAATTCCTTTTAAATACGTACGGAAATGTTTAACTTAGTTGATGCAGGGAATGTCTCACTTTTATGTCTTGCTTCAATCTAGATCTGCTTAATGATTCTGCCAAGCAAATAATCTGACAATTGTTGATGTTACTTTATCTGTTCATTTGCTCTGTTTTTGACTGAGAATATTTTCTAATGAGTTCTTTCTCTGTGGCAGTGTACTGCACTGAAATGATTCTAAAGGCTTCTTCGACGGCTTTCATTGATTACAACTTTGTATGGAACCAAATTCTTCCATTACTTGAGGTGTTTTCATGTACCCATTCAACACTCAGCCTGTTATTCATTTATAATGCCCTCAGGAAATTGTTTTGAATTGGGTAATTTCATTCACCGCTAGGTTTTTTATGTTACTATAACAGGACATGATCTTTTTGTCCATCAATAAGATATGTGATTTATTGTAGCATTGGCTTACTGAACCAAAAACGTAGTTATTTGCTTTGACAGCTTTTTGTAATTTTTAGAGACATTTTCTATCTGTAGCAGTAATATTAGTCAATTTTACTGCAGTTTCCAGTCAGAAAGCTGACAAATATACCACTACTTACATGCTTCACCTGTAGATCACAAGAACAACGCATAATACATAGACTGCTGATAAGATTTGCTCACTGCCAGCAACAACCCATAATACATGTGCCCTTATCATCATCTTTTTCTGTACATAATCAGAAATTTAAGTTCTTGATTGCATCAATTCAGTGATGAATCAAGGCCTGTTTGAACTGTTCATTGCCTTAAGCATGTATATGTGAAGGCCAATTATTAAGCTCCTGGAATTCAATAATGGAATCTGATGGGCAGGGGTTGTAGATCCCATCTTGAGATTGGTTTTGGCTGGCGTAGTTCAAATCATTTTTGGACAGTATCTCCATAGGTAGAAAATCCTCATTTCTTTTGTCATCGTTCAGCTTCTTGTCAGATGGAAGGAGATTCTCTTCCCCATTACCCAGACTAAGTTTTCTTGTCAGTGGGTTGAAATAATTGTCCAAAGAAGGATTTAATGTAGGCAAATTCACTTTATCAGAACCTTCTTCATAAACTGAAATAAAACTGTTGCGCTCGTTGCTTCCATGGAATGTGGCTGTTGAATTGGTCTCCGTAGGAGATAAAGCTTGACTAGCAAGTAACAAAGCTAGTACTTGGCAATCTTGGTTTAGGCAATTTGTTATCATGTCAGTTCTGCAGTCTGTGAATGTAGGATGTAACTCCTCAATCGTATGTGAGAACCTCATCAGCTCTGTACTGCAGCTGTCTTGAACTTCAAATGTGTTTTTTGATATGTTGCCTTTTTTCCGAACCCGGCATAGCACCCAATCATCCAACTGTGGAAACAAGATGCAACATTTTCATGCATATACAAGGATTAGCCTTTGCAAAACTGGTCTACATGATAGCTTAGCGATCTGAGACAGATGAATGTGACATGGAAAGCTGAGGTCAGAAAGGGGGTTTGGGGTCTGGGTGAGAGGGAAAAAATACCCTGTTATCATGCTGCCAAAGTCAAATCTAGGTCCCATTTATTTTCATTATTGAATACCATGGTCTTGAGAGATAGTTATATACATGAAAGTGCCATACGTTGTTTTTGACTGACCAGGCTCATCTTTGTAAGCGCAATCATTTGGAGTGAAAGAAACCTCAAAAGTTGCACTGATTTTAAAACGTTTAGAGGATTGCTTCATAAATTTTGTGAATCTTTTCAATAGTCAGATAAATTTTTAATCTTCAAGACAAGGTTTGACTTCTCTTGATAATTTTTCAGAATATTTAGATCTAAAGTTTTAAAAAATGATTTTCATGATGGTGGGATTGCAATTTTGGTTATATATCCTGTTGCAGCATGGGACAACAAAACCTTGTGATGCTATTGCTCATATTTCTGAAATACACACAAGTTATAATCTTCTCTGTGAGACTATAGGAAGTAAAGAATCTCTAGACGGAAGAGAATAAAGGAAGAATATGGTTCGCATGTTCTCCCTAGGTTCTTAGAGATTATATGTAGATAGTGTGACTCCCCAAGTCATTGAAGATTAATTTTAGATAGTTTGGCTTCAGGCTTTCTAACCCTGACAGAAATAAAGACAGCAAACATGTGAAAAGAGTAACAGAAGTTTCTGTTGTTTATGTTGTGCATTTTTACTCCAGAACAAGCTATCCTAAAATGCTTTATAAAAGATTTTGGTAACTAGTGTTATGTAGATCAACATGCCCACTTACTCTCATGGATCCTTTTAATCTTGAGGGCTTAATGATCGTCTTCAACAGCCTGTACTCGTTCATAATCCATTCTGTCTTAACTCCTTTTGGGGGTCTACCTGTATAAAAGACCAATGCTTTCTTGACTCCAATATTCTTTGATCCAGAAGAAGTGAGTATAGGCTTGTCAGTGCCGGTGGCCTTCCAATAACCTGAAGCGGCAGCTCTGTTTGGTCTTTCTCCATTTGGGTACTTTCTATCTCGTGGACTGAAGAAATACCATTCATCTTCTCCAAACAAAGCTTTCTGTGCAAAGAATAAGGTTATTGAACAGAAGATAAAAAGTTAGTATCATAGCTTGATTATATTAGAGAGTGGAAAATGAATACATGATGATTAGATAGTGCAGAACACAGACTGGGTAGCTCCCATGGGTTATATTTATACAGATCTATTTCAGCAATTACAGATGCTGGAAGTGGACGTGAAGTCACTTTGTTTTGTAAGTAATGAATGATGAGCTCCTCATCAGATGGATGGAACCTAAAACCTGGAGGAAAATGAAAATTTAAATTGGGTTCCGTCTCCATGGAAGTACTTTTCTTCCCGTTCTTCTCGTAGGAGATGATGAAGAGACCTGGGAAATGAAGAAGCACCAACTATTAATAGAGTTGTGATTACAAGAGAGCACAGTATCAAATATGTGGGGCAACTTAGTACAGAATGGGACATCATTTAAGATAACATACAGGAAATAAACAATTAATATGTGAGAGGTATAAAGGAACGGTAAGGTAAAACAACTTGTTTGACTTTACCTTGTCGATACATGAAAGTGATGTCTGCTTACAAGCCTCTTGGAAGGCACATTGCTTTAGTAGTACATTTTTAGTCCCTTGATGAATTATGATGATTATTCAGGATCTTAATTAATTACTAAATTTACATATTGGAGTAGAGAATGTTGGAATATAGGGATGGGGCATGGTGTCACTATCATTGCTGTTTTAGCAACATGTTCAGAGCTTAAACAAATTTTCTAACCTAGAATTAGCTTAATAAATATATGAAACACACAATTTTGGGGCATCTCATTATAAAATATACACCTCAAAGAAGAATGCTTGTTTCGATAACTTCTATCTTCTCATATTGTGAAGCTTTTGTACTTCCATCACTGTTGTTTAGTGGTTGTGTATATGAAAAACCTGCAAAATATTAGTAGTTGGGTGAGCTCATAAGCTTAAGGAGAAAACACTAGTAGGGCTCAGGTTTCATATATATATAACAGATTTGTCTTCTCAAGAAGGAAAATTCCGCCTGTCAGATCGAGGTAGGGATTGATTCTGATTGTTGAAACGGCTTGATTTGGAAATATTGTCGATTCCTTCATCCTAAGGTAGTGCTGCATTTCATGGGCTTTGCTTTTTCAACTAATTTAGCAGAAAATCGGATGCAAGAGGAAGAAAAGATGCTGTTCTTGTCTTCATTCCTTTCTTTGACATAGTTTTCATACGAGCCATGGTTTGCTTGTGGAAAAACATAATGAAGGCATACCAGAATAACAAATCTCTGGGGTTCCTTGTTTGGTCCTTGTGTCTTTTTCTCTAACTTTTGCTTTGAATGTATGTCGTTAGACATGTTATGTTCTTCTTGACATACATCTTTTGCATGAGAATGAAAACCTCATTACAGCTTGATTTGAAATGTACCCCTAGTCGCAGTAGAGGTTGAAAGAGTATTATCAGTTTGGCAAAGGTGGCTCATAACATGCGAATTTTTCTTTCGATGAAAACAAACTGATGATACCTATGTCTCATTTCTTCGGTAATGGAGACCTCATGGTCATATTTTTGAACTTTATTTGTTCTTAGTATTATCAAATCAGCCTTGTTTGACTTGATTTGATTATGCCATTCTCTGTGGATTCGAATCCTAGGTTCCTGTCTTGTTATGTTCGGCATCTGGCTTATGACCAGGAATTATGCACTGTCAAATGATTGAAATTTAATTTGTTTAACCTGTTCATGCCTCATTTGATGACAAGCATTACCAGATGATAAGGTTTGGGAAAAGCAAAAATCATGAATAAGCATAAAACAGTCGTTCTCTGAAAATATGAATTGAATTTGATGGAGCCATAAGTATCTGAAGACTCAAGTTTTGCAGTTCCTTCTGTTCAAGTTTGAGTAGGAATATGATGGCTTTTTATAAACGACTAAAAAGCAAGTGAAAATTGTGTAAGAAAGAGACAAAAGAATGCAACCGGAAAATGTTTTGCCAAAAATGGAGAAACTACAATTGAAAATGCTAGTCTAACCACTAGTGAAATAAAAGGAAAGGAATTCCCATTTGGGAAAGAAATACTGTTCAGTGTTTGGTTGGCGAATTTTTGCAGTTCTAAAGTTTTACTATATTTTCTATAAAAATAATTACTATCTTTTGGATTGAGAAAACTGAAAATGAAAGATCAAATTTGTTAAATATATTTCTTTTATTTGGTAACACTTGTGCATAGGATTTTTCACTTGTGATTTCTCCCCACTTATTTAAGCTACTTTTAGTTGAAAAATTTGTTTGTTTTTGTTTTTTTTTAAATAAGAGATTATATTAGATGCGTTGATAGTATATACTTTTTATATCTGATTAGGTCACCAAAAAACATTAGATAAATTTAATGTTTAATGGACCCTTATAATTTTCACATTTTGTTTGCAATTCTAAATGCTTATCTTAGCAAAGTAGACATGCATTTAATCATATGGAGCCGACAATTTAGAAGTAAAGTAAAGACAATTTTATAGAGCAAATGCTTTAAATCAATCAAAACCCATCTCTCAAAATTACTGCTACCGCTACCACTAATCACCCTTTCAAAGTTTCAATTTCTTTTCAAATGAATCAAGTCAATTAAATGGAAAAATTAAAAAATTTTCATCAAAATAAAAACGCCACCATTTACTAGGATTGTTCATTATATAAAGCTACCGTTAGTAGGTAGCATGGGAAGAAGTGAGGGAGACGGATAGCCATCAACAGCATGGGAAGAAATATAATCCCCTTGATGGAATGATATTAGAGAGAGAAGGGTGAGAAGAAAATTCAAAAAAAAAATGGGTTAACTCATTAAATATTTAAATTTTTTTATTGATTATTTTTAATTTTACCTCATTAATAGAGTGGTAATTTTTTGTGGTTGGA